CTACTGAAGAAGGACGCGGCGGACGCCATCTTCCTACAGGAAACACATCAAAATAAGCGGGGCTCAAATGAGTTAAAGTCGAGCTGGATAAGGAACTACGAAACATCTTTTGGGACATCAAAGTCAAGAGGAGTAGCAATAATAATAGCAAAGAAATGTAATTTTGTCATAAACAAGGTATTGAAGGATGAAGAGGGAAGATATATAATAATATATGGGGAAATAGGGGAGGAAAAATATGTATTAGTAAATGTATACGCACCAAATGTGAAACAGCAAGAATTTTATGAAAAAGTGTTAGAGCAAATAGAGAATTACCATCAACAAAATGTAATATTTGGAGGAGATTGTAATTGCTGTATGGATTTAAAGAAGGATAAAACTACGATAGCATCAAAAGCTAGAAACATTGAAACAACGGAATTAAGCAGAGTAATGAATAAATGGCAATTAAAGGATGTGTGGAGATTGGTAAAAGGGAATGAAAGTAGATATACATATTATTCATCAGTACATAAGGTGTATACAAGAATTGATTATATTTTGTCTCCAAAAATATGACAAGTAAAGTGCTAAATGCTGATATAGGTATGATTAAGATTTCGGATCACGCTTTGGTTTCAATTGAGATTGCGTTGAAATGTGATTATGATGAAATGAAAAGGTGGAGGTTAAACACAAGAATACTAAATCATAAAGAGATAGTAGATAAAGTGCAAGCAGAATGGCAAGAAATATGGGGCTTCAACGAAAAGGGGGTGACAAAAGGAGTTCTATGGGACACTATGAAAGCAGTGACCAGAGGGTTATGTATAAAAGAGACAATTAATTTAAAGAGAAGGCAAGAAGAAAGGAAAAGGAATTTAGAAAGAGAAATAGAAGAGATTGAAAAAGCATATGTAATAAAGAGAGATACACGAATTTATGCTAGGTTAAGAGCAAAAAAAGAGGAATTGGATAAAATGGAAATAGACGAAGTACAAGAAAATTTAATTTATTTAAGGAGGGAATATTTTGAGTTTAGTGATAGGAATTCAAAGATCCTAGCCAAATCAACACAGAAAAAGAAAATGGAAGGAACGATAAACATGATAAAAGATAAAACAGGTAAATTATGTAGAGCTATGAAAGAAAAATTGAAAGTATTTGAGGAATTTTATAA